AGAACTACAGTTATTCATTGTTAAAAAATAATTCCAGACTTGTCTGCTTTTTTTGTTGTATGATTAAGCTTGAAATTTGTTTTTTAAGCGAGTTTACGATTTTTGAATCTTCATTTTCAATGCGCAGATTTTCTGGTGGATTAGCTAAAACAATCTAATATTCTCCAAGCTTTCCATTGCCGTATTAAGTGAGATTTGAATTGGGGGTTCACTCTCATCATCTTTATCTTCCTGAAGTGCAGCAATGATTTCTTGATTTGATGAAATTGCAGTTGTAGGTAATTCATTATCAATCTTTATATATTCTGATGCTGATAAAACATCATTAACATTAATAGGAAGCTGTTCAATTAAATTATGAACTTCTAATTGATCACTATAATATTCATCATAGCGATAGTCATCTAATGGTAAGTCATTATTGTCTAATTCAACTAGAAGAATTCCAGTCTTATGCCAACAATTTCTAATTGTTTCATCTGAAACTTCATTCCACGCCAATGCACAATAATCAATTGCTTCTTTTATATTAACTGGGCTTGGAGGAGTTTGACTTATTTGTGCAAATTCATATGCATCCAACCAGTTTTGAATAAGATAACGTCTGTACTTGGCCTTATAAAAAAAAATTAAAACTTTAATAAAGTAATGTATTACATGTAAATTTATTTATACAGTATTACTATAATATATATACTTTAAAAGAGTTAATAATTCTAGCGTCTATCGGTTGGATATGGGCTGTGGTATTTGGAGGTAGCTTCTCTATTTTTATATTAGTTAACACTAAATCTTCATCAAGAACATGAGTTGATGCCCCGTCAATTAAAAGTAATATGTGACACTTTTGATGTCGCATTTTTGAATTCAAATCTTTAAGATAAAGATTCCAAATAGATTTTTGCATCCAAGCGGATTTGTTCTAAAAATAATCAACAGGCAACTTGCTTTTATCCATGTTTCAAATTGAATGTGGATTTTTATATTTATGAATTAACAATGGTCTTAACCTTTCTGAGCCAGTTGCATTTGTAGTTAGCA